AACGGAAACATTTGGAAATCGGGTAAACAGGAAGCCAAGCCTTTCAGATCAGATATCAAATTATAAGAATTACAACTCAATAGTTCACAAGATGGATTGTGTTTAGTTATTTAGAAAATTCAAAAGCTCACTGTAACGTACTCACTATACAGAACGTTGAAAAATCATGATTTGTGTTTCGTCTTATTTAAAACTTATCAGTAAAGTGTGCCTGAACTCTGGAATTTAAACCATATACGTTTATTTCCAAACACCAATGCATTATTCACTTAACTACTGGATCTTAGAGTGAATATAAACTGTGAGAAGCAGGTGAATCTATCTAGTGAACCCGAAATAAAACGAAACTTACATCCTTTAAATAGTTGTAACTTAATAGTTACATTCAGGAAATCCTCATAGAATGCACATATATCAAAACATATCATTGATCAATTGTAGTCCTAGACAACAATAGGGAATTACAACTAGTACAAATCAATATTTTCTATATACATTTAATATGTACTTTATCACTATACGAGATGTGATTATTTTTGGAATATAAAATTTTCAAATACAATTTCCTTTATTCAATAAATAATTTATTTGATTATCATTAAATATACCACCCACCAACCTACCTACCCATCAACATGTATGTACACATTCAAAGCTTATGGAGATTGGAGATATGTATATATATATATATATACTACTGACAATCTCTTTTTTTCAATTAGACGAGATGGTGTGAATCTTGACAAAACTTTTTGTTATTTCCAAGAAAAAAATAATTTTCATTTTTAATTTTATGATAAAATGTTTATGTGATTGCCTCTAGAGAGTAAGACAGGCAATAGGATGAAATGCTTTAGCGATGACGGTTTAAATGAATTATGTTAACCATGTATGTAAATCGGCATGTTTGTATGATTGTAATAGATTGGATAGTCTAATGGACAAAACACCATATTCTAATCATGTTAATTTTGACCACATACTATCCATTTTATGTTATTATTATTATTATTATCATCATCAATCTTTGCTGTTTCGTTGTTGTTCAATTTTAAATTTTTTTTACTTAATTAATGTGAAGTTATCTTCTCTCTCGCCCTCTCCCTTTCGCTCCATCACTATATCATTCATACACTTTCTTTGTTATCCTTCTTCCTTCTTCCTCATCAACCACTTCTCACTTCACTTATTATCCAACTTTCTATCCTGTCGAACAATATATATTTATCTTTATGTTCTGTTTAATTAAAACCGAATTGGAATTTTGTTGTGTTTTGTTTTTTTTTAAGTGAAAAGACAATGTTTCAATTCATGAAAGACATGAAATAAAATTCTATTTTTATCTGATAGTTAATAATCTGTGAATTTGAATGATTTTTTTTTTGTTTTACATTCAGAAAAGTTTTTTTCTATCATAGCCTCCTTCATATTTACAATTGATTTCAGGGACTGAATGAAGCTAGACAATTGTTTAAAAGTTGGGGGACCACTGAGTCGATTGGTTTCATCCTAGCTTATGAGATTGCTGAATGAAAATATCCAATCCTAACCATGCCAGTGATTAAATCCTTAGTCGAAGTACTTCTACAAACTTTCATCACTGATAATCTTCATCAATTTCTTGCTGTTGATGTCTCCTCAGAAGTGAGCGTCCGTGACCCCCCAAGTGTGAATAGAACTGAGAACCTTCAGTCTTGCACGCGAAGACTTAACTTCTTTATCATTGAGCCAAGGGTCTGATGGTGTATTTCAATAAGTGCAGCAATGATTGTTACATGTTTATAGCTAAATCCAACAATCTTCACAATCGTTTACTGACTGTTATTAATTAGTTGGATGTAATCTTATAGAGATCTTTAGTAGTGGGCTAAACAGCAGTGTACACTCATGACTTTACAATGGGAATTCAATACAGTGAAGCCGTAACTGTTAAAATAAATACGATGTAGCTACTCAATATAATTCAAGTAAACCGGATTGTGATGGCTTCAGTGAATTAACAATATAGAGTAAAAATGATCTTACAATATTATTGTTTTCTTGGTGTCCTACTCTATAATTGTCTCACTCCATAGATAATAATATTCCAGCCAAACTATTGATGGAATTTGTTTCGAACCTAGTCAATAGATGATTATACAAGAATTTATCCAATTCTTAAAAAATGTATTTGACCATTTTAAAATGATATTACTTAACTGTCATAAATGTTGACTAGAAGAGATAACACTGAATGAAGATCTCATCATCATATTATAAATATAAATAAACTTGAAGACGTAGAACAGCGAAATCTTTAACTGGAATACATCATGATTACTGAGAGATAGAGAGGATTAGTGTGTTCAAACCTCTACATGAAGATCATGATTTTACTGAGCATCGTAATGAGACAAAATGGTGGTTGAATATAATCTGGTTGATTCGCCTCTTCAAACTATACAAACGATTCAGCAAAACCTACTTCAAGAATTGTATATTACAATTCACATAAATAATAATTTGATTAATCGACTATCTCTTATTCTACTGAACAGTATAAATATATATGGAATAGCCTATTGATACATAATTAATAAGATAATCATTTGTTTTTGTTTTTTTTTACTTTAAATCGGTACATGTTATGTAACAACATTGGCCGACTATTTGATTAAGAGAATTAAAATAAGTTATCAAAAAATTTTCTCCCTAAGTATTATGACTAATCGATATTGTCATTAATGTGTAGGCTTTGTAGACATTTTTGAATGTGATTGGCAACATCGTGCACTGATCGTTTCGTCATGGTATAGAACTCTACAATGATATATATTCACATCCCCATTTAAGATAGAACTCGATCAGATCATGATGGGAATTATACAATTCATCAACCTCTATAAATCTCCCATACCAATACTATTACTATTAATAATAATCATGTGCTCACTAAGTGTTAATTTCGAGAATTTTAGTGAGAAACCGTGATTGGTGAATTTTATTTGTATCAGATGTGATATAATTTCTCAAAGATAACATTCAGAAATGGTTTCACAATATTATAAAATGACTAACGGTGAGGATTCAAATTATCGGAGCCGACTCAATAATATAAATGTAAGGCGCTCGCTGTCAAATCTAGAGTTTCTGAGTTTGATCTTCGGTGGAATTTTGGATGAACATTGCCTCTGCAGTTGTATGCCAAATTGCAACAAATGTCTAGTGTTTTCAATTAGTTTCACTGATTGTTTAGCTAAGATCAGTCCATTGAATAAATAATGTTGTTTCTTTGAAATCATTTTATTTTATGCTATATCAAACAATGTCTATGCAAAAATCTTTCCGGTCACACGGCCACCTATTTAAGAATTTTAAAAGTTTTTGCATATGAATCAAGGAAAATGAAAAAAAACACTGTGTTAAAGAGAGGAAAAGTAAACTTTTAATTATTTTACTTTCAGGACTGATCTAAGCTGGAAAATCGTTGAATATTAGGAAACAGTATTTAGATGTTTCATCATAGATTAAAAACTCAAAATAATCCTCGTCCAGTCACTCTGTATTGGATCATTACCAAAAACACGAGGCCTTTAACTAGTCGTCATAACCCTTTATTGACTTATTTTTATTATCTTTGATTGGAAATAAAGTTTGAAAGGTTTATCATTGATAGCATTATGCTTGTCATTAGGCTTGAAACTCATGAGTTCAAAATTATTAGGATTCGCAAACTAGGATGAATATATCAATTGACAAGTATTTTTTTAATAATTATCCACCAGTGCTAAGGTGGATATCAGTTCATGATGTAAACTATATTTTAACTGATTAAAGTTTTGTAGAAATTAGTTTGACTTATAAAAGTGTGACATCACTTGAAGTTTATTTGAAAACTGGGAGGCCAGTTGTCCCTTTCTTTCTTATTTGGGGGCGTACAATCATGGTCTCTCGGAAAAAAATGAAGTTAAAATAGTAAAATCTTACTAGTGAACCCTTAACCATTTAAACCACTGAGTAGGAATTTAATGGCGCGAATCACCGAATACAATGTTTACTTATTCATTCTATTATTAAAACACATAAACATTGGTACGAGGAGCTACCAAATAGATATGCGCCACATAAACCATTCGATTAGTTCCTGAAAGAACAAATGGCGTATCAACTAATCGCTGATCACCGGCTACCATGGAGCTGCATCTTCTGACGTTGTTCCACTGCCTTTTGGGTAGGACCTATAGGTCAAAGTCTCCAGGCGTGACCTCCTAGGAAAACCACCTGCTTTAGTTTGGGTACCCGGGCAGTATCCCAGCATTCACACAAATCAAAACCGAATACAATGAATATGTGGTTGATTGTTAAGATCATTTATTGTCACTGGTAATATCTGTTTCACTGACGACTTGATTAAGATTATTTGCCACAAAGAATGTGAAGTTAATTTCTCAAGTTTTAGTTAATTGTTATTGATGATGATTGAAAAATGATTGAAAATTATTCTCTATTTAATAAACTTCACAAAATCTTTAATTGAATAAGATATCAGTCAATAACTGTAGGCATAGAGAAAAAACGTTAATGTTAATGTAATTCGAAAACCTCATAGAATTCGTAATTATGCCACGTCTAATAACACTACTATGGTAGAACTATTCTTAATAATAATTATTATTATTATTACTATTATCTTATAGATGAAGTATTGAAAATCATGGCAAAAAGAATTGTAACAAATCCCCTACGGTTACCCATGTTATATTATTTTAATCAAATCTTTCACGCTACATTTGAATTAATATCATTCCCTCCTAAAGTATTCGTATAAGTTATCTGAGCACATTTATCCCCTTATCCATTCATGAAATTTACAGAAAACATCAATTTCCCATCTTACCAAATATGTGTGTCTTTTTTTTTGGTTTACCTCACAACGTATTTCAAATTATTTGTGTGTGTAGGTGTGTAAGTGGGTATTAATTATAATAATAATTATTATTATTAATTATTGCTAAACTTACCCCAGGCAACGTCTGTTTACCATGTAAAGCATCTTGACATTTTAAAGCTGATTGTCTATGACAAAATGTAACGAAGGCACAACCTATAAATTGAAACATTGTACAGATCATTAATTGTATTATTATTATTATTATTATTTTAACTAAAAGCTATGGATTCAAAATACAAAAAAATAAAACAACAACTAAATAGCTTTAGAAAATATCTACATATTTTAATTGGCTTAAAATAAAGTTTCAATGAACATGTTGAGCTGTTATGATGATTATTCTTCCGGAACAAAGAAAAAACAAAAAAAACCTGTTATATAATCATGAAATATTTATAAATAATTACCAGGTATTAATAATACTCTATAAAACTTTGTTATTCTTTTTGGCATAGAAATAATCATGTGAGATTATATTTTATATAAAATTATTATATTGAATAGAATTAAATATATATACATATATATATGTGTTATACTACTTATGTTGATTAAACTTAAGTAGTTAATTGATTTAGATTTTTACAGAAATATTAATGATTCATATAGATTTATCGATTTCTTTAATAATTGAATTCATCAGTTGATGTAAACTAGACCGCCATTGAAAACTTGGAAGCACTGCACGGCTTTTCCGCACTGTCGAACAGTCCCATACTAAGACGACTCATGAAATCAACTAATAAAAAATCATTACAATCTCCACCACCCTCCTATTATAATAATTTATCAATCTTACTAATCCTGTATAGTTGGGGCTATATTATGAATGAAACTAGACAGATTTATTATGATATTTATGAATATCAATCTGTACAATTCAGTAAAGAATACAGAAGGGAAACAGGTAGTAGTTATTTTCAGTACATTCAATTAATACTTCACACTTAACTGTTGCATAGGTAGTTCTTCTAAACTTATCTATGAAATTTTATCCAACCTAACCGCGACTTTTAGATTTCTTGTTTTTAAATATGAAATTAGGTTATAGAAATCTATGCAACTACATTTCTGATCTCCTTACGTCCGAAAATGTTTACATGATCATTTTTTGTTTATTCTGACCATATAACTAAGTACAAAATTACGTTTACATTTTCATCATTTTATGTCATATTCAATCACTATGTAAATAGTTTTGATTAGTTTCTCATTCCCTCGTATTAATCAATTATTTTTTCATAGATATCAATACGTCTAGTTGTATATCAACACTCCTAGGTGGTTTGAGGCAGTCAGTGAGTGGAGAACTCTTCTTGATGTAGATTTCATGTTAGTTGACACTTTTCAGAAGAGCATATCCTTAAACTTGAGGGAACTTATCTTTCCTGTGTGATTAAAATCGGCTTCATACACTTTAACAGTCTGCAACATAACCACTTAGCTATTCTGAAATACTTATATTGATTGATCACTGAGCGGTGAGCAACGTCATGTTCGTCTGGTGATAGGTGCTGCTGGAATTCTATTGATCAAATTGCAACGTAGCTATAATTTTTAGTGGCTTGACATCGTGTGCATTATATAATGATGTTAGGTATTTGGATTAGATCGATGAGAAACTCTGAAAAGGGGAATGTGATCTACTAAATATCAATTCAGTAGCCTGAGATTGTCGTGTTTACTGTGAGGTCGAAATACTCGGAGTTCAATTTGTTATAAGATTTTGAATGCCTACTAGTGAAAAGTCGTGAACCAAAAAGTTCATCAGTTTTTTAAGGTTTATTAAGACAGTTTCTAGACCTTATTGTTAAAATAATATTCCTGCATAACCTCATTAATCCGAGTGTGAATATCTTCTCATTATTCTTATAGCAAAGAGAAATGTCATGGGAAATTGTCACGTACAAAATTTTTATTGTTGAATTCATTCAAACGTTAGTGGGATAGAGTTATGAGATGGCGATACAATGTAGCTGTTCGTAGAAAACACCTACTTTAACATACCTACACTTCAATAGCTCGTCTGTTATGCAATAAACTACTAATCAAATAGTCTCTTGGCAACTATCCTGTAAACAAAATATATTAAGTCAGGAGTTAATTAATTTCGGTGGTATGTACAATCTATATAGAAAGAAGTACCGGTTTGACACGTCCAACATTATCATTGTAATTTAATGATGATGAAAACCAAAAAAAGTTAAACAGTGTGGAGATTATATTAAGGTGTTTCCATAAGAGTTTTTAAATTATGAAAGATAAATATCACTCACTTTTTACTTTACGCTAGAATCTACAAGTCATCCATTCGAGTCTAATAGGCAGGTCCACATGTACGTCTTTCATTATGTCAACATTAATTAGGCAATTAAATTTAGAAAAGTGTCCTTAATTTCGGTAAAATTTCTCTTTGATAAACAATCTATCAATCGAATTGTACCATTATTTATTTAGTTTATAGTAAATAAAGTTAAAAAACAATATTTTTTGAATAAGGGAGTGACTCAAACTTTTACCCTTCCAAAATCTACGGTTCACAAGTAAATGTTCTTTGTGTAAGTTATATTAATCACAAATTAATCTCAGGGGTCAAAGTGGAACCTGAAGTTTCTAGATGTGATACCTCATAAGGTCGTGTATGTTCACTTGCATTTGGAAGTCGTATAGTAGGATAAAATTGGTGTCCACTGACCCCTGGTTTTCAATGGCGCTCTTACTGAAAGCAGTCTACATTGAACACAATCTACAAATAAAACCGATCTCCACGAGACCCCTTCAGCCGAAATAGATTTTTTGGAAAATAAGCATAATTAAGTCGTTGCTATGTGTTCAAAGTTGTTTTAGGCAAAACTCTCGTTTAAGAAAGTTTCAACTAATGTTAGTTTATGTGTGACCGAAATGATAAGATACAGGTTTGCATATGTATATCTATTAACATATGTGGATAATAATGTAGAATTGTTTCACTCAAAACTCCGCCTGTAGCTCTTATAGGGTTGCTCCCGGTCCCAAGCCCGTGTAAAGGAGGAGGGTTGGGGTTGGGGTTAGCGTCCCCATCCCGTAGAAAACTAACTCGCTAAAAAAAACGCTTACCAGAAAAAATAATCCAAACCATTTTAACTCTGCCCTGGGAGTTAGAAGGTCTTCATTTAGAAGAATTATGACGCTTCATGGTGAAATTTGAGTTCCTTCGGAAGCCGTGAGGCCGATGCCCCTTCTAACAACCAGAGCAAAAATTTTTATAGGTACATGGAACGTTCGAACAATGTGGGAAACCGGGAAGACCAGTCAAATATCAATGGAAATGAGGAGATACAACTTAGCAGTACTGGGAATCAGCGAAACCCACTGGACCCAAACTGGACAGAAAAGGCTAGCTACGGGAGAGATGCTGCTATACTCCGGTCACGAAGAGAACAATGCTCCACACACTCAGGGAGTCGCTCTTATGCTGTCCAAAGTAGCACGAAATGCACTTGTAGGATGGGAATCTCACGGATCCAGAATCATCAAAGCATCATTCAAAACAAAGAAGGAGGGGATCTTAATGAATATTATCCAATGTTATGCACCCACCAATGATAGCAACGACGAAATTAAAGATCAGTTCTACGAGCGGCTGCAGTCAATCATTGAGAAATGCCCAAGAAAGGACCTAACTATTCTGATGGGAGATCTAAATGCCAAAGTCGGAATAGACAACACTGGATATGAAGATATTATGGGACGACATGGACGAGGAGAAAGAAACGAAAATGGAGAAAGATTTACAAATCTATGTGCATTCAACAAATTGGTCATAGGAGGCACAATATTTCCACACAAGCGTATACACAAGGCTACATGGATCTCACCGGACCACACTACAGAGAACCAAATAGATCATATTTGCATCAACAAAAAATTCCGAAGGACAATGGAAGATGTGAGAACCAGGAGAGGTGCTGACGTAGCTTCAGATCACCACCTAGTTGTAGCCAATTTGAAACTGAAGCTAAAAAAGAACTGGACAAGTGGACAAACAGCAATACAAAGGTTCAATACAGCCTTCCTTCGAGATACTGTCAAACTCAATGAATTCAAGATAGCTCTCAACAACAGGTTCCAAGCCTTACAAGATCTACTGAAAGAAGAAGAAACTACTATGGAGGACAACTGGAAAGGCATCAAGGAAGCATTAACTTCAACGTGTCAAGAGGTTCTCGGTCTAAAGAAATACCATCATAAGGAATGGATCTCTATAGAAACACTGGACAAGATCAAAGAAAGGAAGAACAAGAAGGCAGCAATAAACAACAGCCGAACACGAGCAGGAAAAGTCCAAGCACAAGCTGAATACATAGAAGCAAACAAACAAGCGAAGAGGAGCATTAGAGCCGACAAGAAGAAATACGTGGAAGAACTAGCAACGACGGCAGAAAAAGCTGCTAGAGAAGGAAATATGAAACAGCTTTACGATACAACGAAGAAACTATCAGGGAAATACAGTAAACCAGAGAGGCCGGTCAAAGACAAAGAAGGCAAGCCAATCACCGAAATTCAACAACAGCGTAACAGATGGGTAGAATACTTCGAAGAGCTCCTGAATAGACCGGCTCCAATGAATCCACCGAACATCGAAGCAGCACACATAGATCTTCCTATAGATGTCAATCCACCAACTACGGAAGAAATTAGAATGGCCGTCAGACAAATCAAAACCGGGAAAGCAGCGGGACCCGACAACATACCAGCTGAAGCACTGAAATCAGACATCGAAGCAACCACAAGCATGCTTTATCTTCTATTCAAAAAGATTTGGGAGGAGGAACAAGTGCCGATGGACTGGAAAGAAGGACACCTCGTCAAGATTCCAAAGAAAGGAGATCTGAGCAAATGTGGAAACTACAGAGGCATTACACTACTGTCAATACCAGGGAAAGTCTTCAACAGAGTGTTGCTGAACCGGATGAAGGATGCAGTAGACGCCCAACTTCGAGATCAACAAGCTGGATTCCGTAAGGATCGGTCGTGCACAGACCAAATTGCAACACTACGGATCATCGTCGAACAATCAGTTGAGTGGAACTCATCACTATACATCAACTTCATTGATTATGAAAAGGCATTCGACAGTGTAGATAGGAAGACATTATGGAAACTTCTTCGAC